TTCACTATCCAAAACTAAATATTTTTACGATTAAATGTAATTGCTTAGTGGCAAGCTAAATAAACAATTAAAATTGCAGCTATAAAAACTAATGTTAAATCGTAAAAAAAAAATCAGCAAATCAAAAACTGAATTGATTGATTAAATAGGAATATTTAAATGAAATTCTGTTTGTTACAACCTAAATTTTTTGATTGAATTAAAAAATGATTTGAATTTTTTCTTTTAAAATACCAATGATCACATTTTGTAATTAGATAATAAAGTGGAATTATAACTAAAATTTGGAAGAAAAAAAAACAATACTATTTTGATGGAATATTTCAGCTCAAACTTGTTCCAAACTTGAACTATCAGACTAAATTAAAATGAATGACAAAATGGAATGATAATTTAGTTTCTTATCTCACTATTCACATTTAAAAATTGCCGTAGAGTGAAATATTTGTAACAATTAATAAATGTTTTTATGCGAATAAATGATAAAATGGAATTATAATTTACAATAAATAACAATTGTGGAGCAGATATGATAGTCAGGCAAAAATTAATTAAATAAATGTTAAACAGAAATGTGAAAGTAGTTCTAATTAACATTTCATAAAATTTACATTTAACTTTTATAATCTTTTTTTTTGATTTTAAGATATTAAAGAAACTATTTTTTCGTTCGAAAAAGCAACTATCCATAGATATTCACGACATATTTAATACATAACACATTCACAAACACATATATCCTACAATCAATTAGTTACGCATTAATTACTCAAGTGATAAATAGAACTAATGATGGTAGGATCATAAGTGATACAAACTGAAGTAAACATACGTGGTTGGTCAAGTAAGAAATTTGTAAAACTATGTAATCACAGCTCTGTAATTATTTGATGAAAAGAAAAAGGAACAGAAACTTAGTATCGAATCAGTCTCCTATTGCTTTTTATCCAGTGAATTTTGTTATGAAGTTCTGGAGGCAAGTTCTATAAATAAATGATTTTAAAACTGATTTTTTTCGCGATTTTATCGAAAAAACTTAAATAAAAATAACCGTAAACTGTGATGATTATGAAGAATTCAATAAATTTGAATAATTCGAGTAAAACCATAATGATAACTTAATAAGTGAACAATTACACCAATTTCAGTCGTCGAGTTTTTTCTTGTGCTTTTTCTTTATTAATTGAAATCTTTCAAGTTTCTTTTGTTCTATCATTTACTTAACATTATCTGGCATAAACAACAACAACAAAGATATAACTATGTCAATAAGTTATCTATAACAATAAAGAATATATAATGTATATGATCATTAATGTTTTTTCAACTAATTACCGCCTCATTATTAATTACACTGCATATCTAAGACATGCTTTTCATCATATTGTGGTGATCAGTAGGTACCGCAATATAATAGCAATCACGTGAAGAGTATGAAAGATATGAAAAGCGTCAAAGTACGGCAATGTAAACAACGACAAATTAAAATTTTTTAATTGGATTCATCTATCTTAGGCGACAAGATAAGGTGCTCGAAGAGCGATAGTTAAAGATGTGATAACAATTATTGCCGAAAATAGAATTAGACCGATCCGATCAACAACTATAGCTGCAAATCGCCATTCGTTTGCAATTCGTTTCTCCTCGATTATATCATCGGTTCTTTCACGAATATCCTTAATTTGGAATAATTTTGCAACATATGACAAGAATGAATTAAATCATTGTGGAAAATTTCAGAAAATTGAATAGATAATATAATATAAAACAAAGAAGAATAGAGAATGAAAAATTGATTTCACTCACTGAACAGTTTAGTGAATTTGAAGAAATTAGTCTAATTAATTAATTTTAAATGAACCCTATTCGGTTGTGTGTGATTACTAGTAAGTTTATCTTGAGAAGACAAAAATTAACACGAGTTAACAAGATTATTTTTAAGGGAAATAATTGCAATTCCAGATCCCGATCACAACGAATTTTCAAAGGGTTACTAGTACCTTCTTGTAATGGTTACATCACGTTGATTCCTACAATGCATGGACACGTAGCTTTTGAATATCTAAGGGTATCACAGATTTATTATGCTAATGAGGGGAGAGAGAGAGAGGAGGGGGAGAGGGAGAGAGAGAGAGAGAGAGGAGGGACGGCCGTACGGTACGTTA